GAGTTGAGCTGTTTGGACAACGACTATGGCGGCATCGGAGACGAGCCGCTCTCGGAATCCTTGAGCTTGGGCAGCAAGGCAAGCGCCAGCGGGGGAGTGGTTAGCTCCACCCACAGTCAACAGAGCTGCGAGAGCGACTCCATGCAGTCGACGAGCAGTGGAAAAGCTCCCATGGCACTGAATGGAGCCCTGCCCGGACGATCTCCGTTGGACTTTAACTTGGCCAAGCTGGTGAATAACGCCTATGGGCGTGAGTTTGAACCAGAGCTACGCTCTCAGTGGGATCAGAGCGAGAATGGTGGGAGTGGGGGAAAGAATGGTGGCCCAGAGGACAGCCAGGATATCACTATCACACCCCAGCGGGCCGGCGATATCAAAATAAAGCTCGTCAACGAGGCCAAGGCCATGAATGTGCGTGGCATCGCAGGTGGGAATCACCTGGAGGACGCCTCTGTGCAATATGATGTGAGAAAGCTACTTCAGATCTGCATGAAAACATCCGAGCAGCAGCCCAGAATTCTGGACATCTTGCGCTGCTTGGATCTGAAGGCAATCTACCAAAGGACTGGCCAGGGGACGGACCTAGAGGACGATGAGTACGACATGGGCAACCAGCAGGTGCCTAGTGCCGTCACCACCTTCAAACACGTCAATCGCAGGACCCTCAAGTCTTCGCAGCATCAACGGTGCATAGGCCATGCTCTCCTGGTGGCCAGCAGTGTGGACGGCTACCTCTATCAGTTCTCCGCTCAGGGGAAATGGTACAGTGAGAACGAGAAGCCTGTGGCCAGCTACAGCTTTACGGCTCCCGTCATTCAGGTGCACATCAACGATTATGTGGTCTTTGCGGTCACCTCGGAGTCCGTGGAGACGCACACCTCGCGGATAGGCCACAAGCTCTTCCACAATCGCTTCGAATATCCTTCTATTGGGGGCATTTTTCCCGAGGAGTCTGCACCAGACATCACCACGCCCATCGCTGTCGTGGGTCTCGCTGCCTTCATGCACGTTCAGTTTGTTTGCGTGAATCGAGAGCAGCTGGTGCTAATCACCAATGCCGCCCTGGAGCTGCACAAGCGTCGCAGCACGGGAGAAGTGTCCACCACAACCGTCGCTGTCAAGCGGAATATTGCTGCCAGACTGCTGGCCGAAGCAAAGGCCAAGCACAGCAGCCTTCTGAGGAGCAGCAGCGCTGCCCAATCCTCAACGGTGACTAATGAGTGGACCCTCTACAACCTGGAGGTGCCCCGGGTAGAGCACGTCATCGAGGATCTCGAGGGCATTGCGGAGTCGTATCGCAGTGCGAGCAGCTCGAATTTCTATGATCTCATGGAGGAGGCCCATGTCATGTTGCGGCTGAGCCTCACATTGCAGGGCGAGCGGCTGGGCTCGGAGCGCGAGCAGCTGCTGAGGAAAATGTTTACTGCGAACTGTCGAAAATTGGCCGACTTCTCAATACGGTGAGTATTGACAAGAGTTTTTCTTCATCTGTTCAATGTGTGATAATCGGTCCCCCACTTTTCCGTTGCAGTTCCAGCAAGCAGGAGGTTTATCTCCAAGCAACGGGTTTCTACAAAATGTGCCAGATCCAATTGGTGGACATTTACAACAACTACATTCAGCAGTTCATGGACAACGAGGAAGATGTGGAAACATCCGAATTGGCAGGCCTAATCTACACAGTAAAACTATTCCTACTCAGCCTGGGAACAGATCGCTTGAGGTCCGCCTTTCTTAACCAGACAGTTCGACCGTACTTCACCCCGGCCCGAGTGCTGCAGCAGGGGTACAAGCTGGTGCCGATTTCGTTGGAGTTCCTCAATATGTTCATCAAGCACGCCCCGGTGGATATACCCCAGATAATGCTTTGTTCCCCTGTAGTGGCGGACACCATGAGCGGAGAGCTCATCAACTATTTTAAATACTTGAACACGCTGTAAGGCTGCAAATAATATGGTTATGTGTTGAATATATCCTAGCTGAAATTTACCCTTGCAGCTCCGCCGATGAGAACCTCCTGCTGGCTGTGACAGCCTGCCGCATGTCCAACTATCTCCTGGCCCAGGAAATCATAGCCAAGTCGACCAGGCGAACCCTGGCCACGGCTTTGATCAAGCACAAGAATGTTCTCTTTGACGACAGCACTGTGATTTATCAGCGACGCCAGCATCAGCAGGCTGACCAGCAACAGACCACCAGCTCGCGGAAGAAAACCCGTCGAGGCGGTGTGAAAAGCAAGCCCGCTAGTGTCTCCACGCCCACGCCGAGTGCCATCGTATCCTTTTCGGACTTTTGTGAAACCATTCTGTTGGCCAACGAGCAGCCTGCATTAATAGAGGCCATCAGCGATGCCTTCATTCACGCCCTTTGCATCGAGCATAGCCTCACTTTGGATGTGCTGCTGCAACTCTTCCTCAACTACATTGCCTCGCACATTGGCCAGAAGGGCTATCAAACCTCTCAGAAGGTTTTTGTGAATATTCTACAGGTTTATTATTATGATCTCTACGATGTGAGCTCCTCGCTGCAGCCCCACGAGATTCGTTCGCAGACACCACCCCAGCTGGATGACGACTACGACGAAGAGTGCAGCAGCTCTCGGGCTCCCTCGCTGCACAGCGAGGCGGACGCCCAGTCTCTGTCCAGCTCCTGCGCCAGCTCAGCGCAGGAGGAGAGATCAGCAAGCCTATCGATCAACGGTAGGCAGCAGCGTATAGTCTACGATCAGCTGCAGGAACAACAGTCGTCGCCATTCCAGAAGCGCAACTCAAATGCCTCGCTTTCGCAGCCCCAGCCAGACGACGATCTGGCCATTACGAATCTCAAGGGTCTCAAGATCCTCTTTCGCATGTACATGGGCCGACTGAAGGCCCTCAGTGATCTCATCACGGATCTCCAGTCTGCGGATGTGGAACAGCAGTCGAGTTCTGAAGATTTCCTCAACCTGCGCATGGAGTGCATTTCCTATATGGTGGGCATGGCACCGAATTACTGTCCCAAGCCAATGGTGAAGAATCCCAACGATCCCCTGGCCGGCAAGCTGATCTACGTTCCGTTTATTCCCGACTACAAGTTGGCCGACGGCGAGGAATACGACCGCCACATCAAATCCTATATACGGCCCATTCCCTGCCTACTGGAGCGTCCACAATATTTGAACCGACTGCCGCCCTTCGAACGCAGTGACTTCAGCTATCCCAACAAGGATGAAGGCGAGTTCAAGGTCCGCTTTGTTAGCTGGCACAACGAGCTGCTGACGCTGACACTGAAGATTCAAAGTCTTCTGGCCTCCAGCAAAGTGGATCGAGAGATTATTTCGGAGTTTTTGGCATTCATTCAAAAGACGCCGCACTTGATGGGCATTGACAGCTTTTTGGTAATCATATTGCCGAAGAACTTGGCCATTAACTACATGCTGAGCTTTTGTCCCGCCTATCTATGGCAGTATGGAAAGGTCGGTATTCGAGAATGATTCTGGCGAGATAAGAGTTTAAAATTCGTATAATTTTAGTCCTGCGGCTTCACACCCAAACACTGGGAGAGTTTGTTGCGCAAGATTCTCAGCAAGCAGGATGCTTTGCCCAACTGGAAAGTGCACATAACAGGTTTGTGGTACAGCCTTGATCTGTCTGAGCAGTATCCTAACCATCCTAACTTGCAGAGATCCTTAACAATCTGGTGGCGGAGTTGACCTTTGAGGAACTCCTTCAGTGCTTTCCCAGCGAGGTCATTCAAAATCGGAACACTGCGCAATACTTTGCCAAGGAATTTGCCGAAACCTGCGTTCTCTATGAGCACGAAGAGCTCGTCTTCAGGGGTCCGGAGGAGTCTGCCGAGGGTAGGGACCACCTGCCCATGGACAACATTGACGAAGACAATGTATTCGAGCTCACACTGCGCAAGGCAGTGGCCAAACAACGAAGCATTGCCCTGAGGTCCATGATCGAGTCGACGGGGACTCAGTTGTTCGATGCTACCAGTAATCCCATGTATAATCTGTAATCTGTATGCATGCTTGATCTGGGAATAGTAGCTTGTCACAGTCGGTAGTCCCCTTTTAACTAGTTACAAACGGAATTATCACACTGCAAATGATAAGATTGATTGATTGATATTAACGTAGCAAGGCGGTATTACAAAATCAAAAAACGTTATTTATATCTCATGTATTTAACGCATGTAGAGGGCACCATATACATATGTAGTTTGTAGTTTTAGGACTCGTAAACCCATTACGATTGCATTATTTATTGACATTCTGTTTGACACAAACGCAACATTTGGATAATTATTGTAGCAATGATTTACGGAGCAAAACAGGCCGAACAAACAAAAAAATCTCCTGTAGGTTGTACAGATAACTCCTCTGGAGCCAATCCCCCCCCCCTTCCCATTGATGCGGTATTGGCCATAGTAAACCAGTTAATGCTTAGGGAGTAATGGAGATGTTGGAAAGGTAGTGCTATGCTTCACGCCCACATATATTTGTATTTGAAATTGTATTTATATTCGTACGTAATGTTACGCCAAGTTTCCTTTGACCGAAGCTTTAATACTCTAAATGGTTCATATGTACGTACATACATACGTCTGTATTTTTACCCTATTTATATGTAGTCTGTCTCACTCACTCTCTTATTTACCGACACACACAGCACACTCAAACACACCAACAACAAAAACAACATCAAGTGATATTTTTAATTCTTGCATTGAATCTGAACAATAAAAACATAATTACATTACAATGGCTCCATTGAAGTCTTGATAAGGCGGCAAGGTTAGTCACCTACCCATGCCTGTACCCGTATCCGCTGCAAGCCGAAGATTGCTAGTAGATCGCAGACAGCGCTCAGGTTCCAGCTGGTGCTAAGTATTACTTAATCCGGCAATTAATTTTTGCCAGCTGCCGTCAAAGTTCTTTGTAAGCGTGCTGGTCCGACCCGACGCCTAGGTAATTGAAACGTGCGAAAAAAAAACAGAGGGAAACCGTTGGGGGAAGATCCACATCCACGCCCCCCAAGGCGGCGTGAATAATTTTGCCAATTAAGAGCAGTGGGCAATGAGCGTGCGGCATTCCAAGTTGGAGGCTGGGGGTTGGCGAGTCAGTCACTCAGAGACGGCGCTATCAGCAGCATGCTTAAACTGCAGCCCAAACTGGACGGGGTCCCGCAGGTGGCAGAGTCGGGCGCCACATCCACGGAGGACAGCCAACTGGACGCGATCATCGTCCAGATCGGACAGTTTGGTCGCTTCCAGATCACCAACTATCTGCTGCTCTGCCTGCCCATCATATGCAATGCCTTCTACTCCATCTCGTATATTTTCACCGCCAGTAATGTGGCCCACAGGTTCAATCTATGAGTAACCTTCGCTAACCAATAACCAATACAAATTATCCGCAGATGCAATATTACCCAGTGCGACAGCTCAGATAGCAGCTACTCCGCCCCATTTCTGAACTTTACGACACCTCAAAGCCGTGGAGCTTGGGATCAGTGCCAGCACTATGCACTCAGCTCTGAAATTGAAACTGCATCTGCAGCTTGCAATGAAAGTAATTTTAACCAGAGTGAACTGATTATCTGTGAAGCAGGCTTCAAGCTGGTAGAAGACGAGCGTACCATAGCAAGCGAGGTGGGCATGGGGGAGTTCTAAGGACGCAGAAATATATGATCTTTGTCGCATAATCTTTCTTTCACAGTTTGGAATCTTTTGCGGCGATCAGTGGAAGCTGTCGATGGTGGGCACAGTCAATAACATAGGACAGTTTGTGGGAATACCCCTCGGAGGATATTTAGCAGATCGGTAAGTGATTTATGGTCTAGTGCAAAGACTCGATAGCAAGCAGATATTCCCATTTTAGATATGGTCGCAAAAGCCTGCTTGTCATAGGTGGAATTCTCAGCGCTTTCGCCGGACTGGCCCGCTCGCATGCCCCAAACTATTACAGTTTCCTAGGCCTCGAGTTCCTGGACATGGCCGTGGGCAGTACTCTCTTTCCCACCGCCTTCCTAATGGCCCTCGAGCTGGTTGGCCCGAAGCATCGCGTTGTGGCTGCCACGTCGATCACCCTCACCTATGGACTGGCCGAGGCTGCCCTGGGTTACCTGGCCGACTTTATCAGGGATTGGCGGGTGCTGCTCCGCGTGCTATACACCCCGGCACTGCTGCACTTGATCTTTATCTGCCTGCTGCCGGAGAGCGTGCGCTGGCTTCTCAGTCAGTCGAAGGAGCTGGACGCCATGAACATTCTGCGTAAAGTGGCTCGGGTCAATCGAAAATCCTTGTCGGAGCAGCAGCTGACTGAGTTGATGCGCTCCAACCGGCAGCTAGTGGCTAAGTCTTCTGCCACAGGAGGCCACTACAGCCTGCGCCAGATTGTTCATGCTCTAGGCTGGCGCATTGCCCAGTGCTGCTTTGTGTGGTTCACCCACACCTTCATTGCCCTAGGCCTCAGCCTCAATTCCAGCGAGCTGAAGGGCAGCAAGTTCGAGAACTTTAGTATGATGGGGTTCATGCAGCTGCCGGGCTCTCTTCTGGCCACAGTGATTATGCACCGCATTGGTCGACGCTGGGCCCTAACCTCATGCATGACGAGTTGCACACTCTTTCTACTGGCTGTACCCGCTTTGCAGGAGGGTAAGTTTTGCTTCATTTATTCACTGGAACTACCATTTACGAAGCCAGTTCTTTTGCCAGCCTACCCGGTAACCTCCTCTGTGCTATATTTCATGGCCAAGATGACTTCTACTGGCAGCTTTGTGATTCTGTACTTCTTTACCTCTGAGATCTTCCCCACGAACTGCCGGAACAGCCTGCTCTCCTTCTGCTCGATGGTTGGTCGCTTTGGCTCCATGCTGGCTCCCCAGACTCCTCTGCTGGTGAGTGGTGTCGGCGTCCACTTTTCCGCCAGTGTCTCCCTAATGAAGACCCTCTTCTCTTGCAGATTCCCTACTACACGTACGCTCCCCACTTTCTCTTTGCCTTATTCGGCTTTGTCTGCGCCTGCCTAACGCTGTACTTTCCGGAGACCACGAACAAGGCTCTGCCCACCACGCTGGAGGAGGCACGATCCCTGGACAGAAGCATGCCAAAGCCCCTGGCAACAAAAAGTGCTGTCTAATCGAAACTGAACCGTTTTTGGGGTATCATGGAGACCAGAGATCTGATCTGATCAGTGCGTGATCAGAAAAAAAGTCAAAGACAATAAAAAATTTATAAATATAAGAAGCCAGGGCATTTTTAGACATTTTTAAGGTGAGTTTTTACGATTCGATTCCCGATAGAGTACTTTGGGAATTTGCAGAATCAATACTAAGTAGTGGCTTATCACCAGCGACTGTTATTTCCACGACTTATCACCGATTTATAGCTTCCTTCGATGACATACTCGTATTTTCAATTACAAACCGTCAATAATTCACTAGGCTTCTCATTGATTGCGGTTTCATTGTCGCTATCGCTACCTATCATTGATTTATCAGTCTGGTCGGCAATGGAAGTGAACAAATTGATTGTCAGTCATTCAGTCACTTGTGTATTCAATTTCCTCACCTAATCATCTTAGGGTTACCTAAATCAAGTGTGAAGCCAAACACTGTCGCTCCCTGACAAGGTCATCGACATGCAGCCAGACAACTTGTTGACCCAGTCGAGCCATCAGGCAACGAACAGGAACAGCTGTTTCCCCCACCTCAGACAGAGTGTCTCGCCGTCTGATAGAACATACACTGGCCATATCCCACATACAATGTACTAGACTGATATCAACAGTTTGGTGCTAATGTCCGACTAAAACCATTCACAATTAAACGTGTGCTACGATTGAGTGTAATTTTTTATTCACCCAAAGCTGTCGAGAGCAAATAGTTTTGGACTGGGACTGATAAGAACCTGATAGCAGCAGATCAAGCAGTGATAGGGCCTGCCCAGCGGTGCGGAGTGGAGTGGAGTGGAGGAGAGGCATGGAGAAGACCAGACACTAGCACACAAATAGTAAATGAGAGAGGAAACAGCGAAAGTAAGAGAACTCTCTCTACGATGGGAGCACACTACGGGCCGAACTGAAAGCAACCTCAACCGGGTGATGTGGTGGGCGCGCTGCGATACGAGTATCAGTCAGTGTATGGCAGCGAGACGCTCCAGAGTGTCGATGTCTATAAATAAAATATCTAGCTGTAGTCTCCGCAAGCCAGACCGAAAGTTATAAAACACACATCGCGCGGAGACGCACATAAAAAGTGCATTCAACCACGTGCCGCGTATTTCACTTTCAATCGAAAATAGTGCCTTTTATATATACAACGATGCCTAACCAAAAGGAGGGAAACGGCAGCTCTCCGGCTGCGAGCAACGGTCATGCGGAGCCGGAACCGGCACCGAGTGATGAAGATAACTCGCTGGACGCCATTCTCGTGCGTATTGGCCAGTTTGGACGCTATCAGATCATCAACTACGTGCTTTTGTGCGTTCCCATGCTCTTCAATGCCTTCTTTTCGATCTCATATGTGTTTACCGCGAGCACAGTGGTGCATAGGTGGGTGAAAACGTAGTGAAAATATGTCCATAATCTGGACTCTCATCTCGTGTTGTTAGGTGCAACATCACTCAGTGCGACAGCCCCGCCAGCGTTTACGAGGAGAGCTGGCTGAACTTCACAGTTCCGTACAAGAACTCCGCCTGGGACGACTGCCATCGCTATGTGGCGAATGAAACGGAGCAGCTTTACGCTCCGTTCACGGATCCATCTGGGGCGTACTGTGATGCCGCGTACTTTAACAGAGAGACGGAGACTTGTGGCCATGACTTCAAGTTCAGGGATGAGGAGAAGACCATCTCAACGGAGGTATGTGTTTTGCAGTTTTATTGTGTTTTTTCCCCAACTCAATAATCACGTTGTACTCCTCCGTTTAGTTTGGAATCTTTTGCGCCGATCAGTGGAAGCTCTCGATGGTGGGTACTATCAACAATGTGGGACAGTTTGTGGGCATACCCATTGGCGGTTTCTTTGCAGATCGGTACGATTGATGAGATCCTTTTAGGTTAATTTGGAATTTCCCTCATTTTCCCAATCTTGCCTTTCCAGATACGGACGCCGAACAATGTTGGCCATAGCTGGAGCACTGAGTGCATTCATGGGCGTAATTCGCTCCCTGTCGACCAACTATTACATGTTCCTGATCTTCGAGTTCCTCGATATGGCCGTGGGCAGCACTCTTTTTCCCACGGCCTTCCTTTTGGCCATTGAGTTGGTAGGCCCCAAGCGTCGGGTGGCTGCGGCCACGATCATCACCATTTTCTACTCCCTGGGTGAGGCATTCCTCGGCTTCCTGGCCTCGCAGGTCCAGCACTGGCGCTGGCTACTCCGAGTGCTCTATGCCCCTGCTGTCCTGCAGATACTGTTTCTGTGGATACTTCCCGAGAGCGTGCGCTGGCTGCTCAGCCAGGGCTCGGAGGAACGAGCCGCTGCTGTGCTGCGTCGGGCAGCCCGAATCAACAAACGACCCTTGCCGGATGAGCAGTTGGATGAGCTGCTGGCCACCAATCGCCAGAAGCTGAGTCAGGCCAACGAGAGCCAGTACCCCATTATGAAAGCTGTGCGATTCTTCTCACTCCGTATTCTGAACTGCTGCCTCTGCTGGTTCACCCACACTCTGATCGCCCTGGGACTCAGCCTCAACTCGGTTAACTTGGGCGGAAACAAGTACACTAACTTCATGCTGAACGGGTTCATCCAGATCCCCGGTCTGCTCCTTCCACTGATCATCATGGATCGAATAGGCCGACGTTACTCGCTCTGCGCATCGATGCTCCTCTGTGCGGTCTGCATGGGCGCCTCCGCTGGCATTGCACCAGGTAAGCCAGAGGAAATATATTTCTTTATTAAGTATTAAAGATAGCCCAAGATTGCCTTTGGCAATGTCTAGAAAATGTATAAATTAGGCAATCACTCGTATCTTTCTTCCTAGATAACTACGCTGGCGCCCTGACATTGTTTCTTATTGGCAAGCTGGCTATCACCTGCAGCTTTCAGATTCTGTACTTCTTTACCTCGGAGATCTTTCCCACCAATGTGCGCAACAGTCTTCTTTCCCTTTGCTCCATGGTGGGTCGCATTGGCTCAATGCTGGCGCCGCAGACGCCTTTGCTGGTGAGTATATCAGGCCCAATCACCATCTTGCAAAGAGTCTAATATTTTCCTTACTCTAGGCCAAGTATTACGCATACGCCCCGCAAATTCTCTTTGCCAGCTTTGCTCTGATGAGTGGTGTTCTTACCCTGGCCTTTCCAGAGACGGCAGACAAAGTACTGCCCACCACCATGGAGGAGGCGCGCGATCTGAATCTGGTAAAACGCCGGGGACAGGCTGTTGTGGGTGAGGAAGCAGAAGGTAGTACTCGTAAGATGTGTTGATCTGCATCCGGTGTTTTAATGGTATCCAAAAAGGGCCAAAGATTTTATAGCTTAAGTGTAAGAAAGCCAATGATGCATTTGTTAATATGTTCGTTATGTCTTAGTTAAGTTTTGTATGTAATTGTCGATTTTATTTCAAAGAAAACATAATTTTTAAACAAATACTGCATAAAAACATTTTTTATTAAAATTTGCTACATGTATTGTACATTCTACATGTGATTTTTATGTGTACACGTGTAGAATGTAATGTAAGAAAAACTGTAATGTTAAATGATAAGCCCTCATTCCCTCTCTTTCACACAGTCTTCATAGTTCAGTGTGCGCCCTCTGGCGGATGGGAGACATACTTACTGAATATCAGGCATAAATATAGACTCGCGGCCGTAGAAGCGACTCACAACGTTCCCACTCGATTTTGTTTGATTTTAAAACAAATTAATACATACTTCTTTCAAAATAGGCCAATCTTAAGGAAAACGCTTTTTTAAAAGATCCAACTGTGTGTTTAAATCGATTGGCAGGACTCTCCCGGTCCCGAAAAGACATGCCACACCCAGATCGGCTGCTGATCAACTGAGATATATGTAGCATGCAGCACCTCAAGTGCTTTCCTTTCCCTTCCACACGAGCCAACGATAGTGCTTGATAATTTTGTTAGCTTTGTAGAGCTCGTGGGCAGGTGCAGTAATGCCAAACAATGGACAGAACAACTGCACTTACATAGGAAATCAGGTAACATAGCCGCGAACTTGAGTCTCAGTGGTGCAATCAACAAACAAACGGTCCACGCCCCAAAAAAGACAGAAAATTAAAAAGAACAATTTAAAGCAATTGACAACTACCTTTACTGGCGTTTTGAGCTGTCTCACTTTATGAATGGCAGTTTATGGGTAATGACGATTGCACTTGAATCATAAGAGATTGGCCTTAGACATCGGGTCGCGGATGTGCTCTTATCGGAGTCGAATTTTCTGGTTAATTGCTGACTACTTACGCGCATCTGTCCTCGATGCTATCATTAACGACCACGACGAAGAAACCTTATCTTACGATCGATCGCCCGATCGGTTTGTAGTGAGTGGAGAACTACCAGGTCGGAACTGCTGTCTCTCTGTCAGTTCCGATTTGTCGATGGTCGCAGAGAGACATGAGCGGTGACTATGAAAGCGACTATATTATGCGTACTCGGTAGGACACCACTTTTTATACTATACGTATAGATATATCCATATATATAAGTATATATAAGATACGACTACGCAAGCACCTAATAAGACCACAATCGGTTAATTCCAGGAAACTACGCGATAAGCAACCCCTCTGGGACTCTTTCCAGGATCCCCCGGCCAAGAAGACGAGCGGCTCCGATGCTGACTGGAAGAAGTTGCAGTTTTTTCTCAAGCTCTTCAAGCTGCTCGTTTTCCTCATAGTCTTCGCCGTCGTTCTGGCCACAAGTGTGGCAGCCAAGCTGCTTTATCTTTATATGGCTGGCAATACCAGTGGCAGCGGAAGCAGCGGTACCAAGGTGCAAGTGTGCAGTAAATACCGTGAGTCAAGGGCCTAACCCTCCATTCTGTATTCAGTATTCTGTAATTGATGACGGAACTTTCTCTTTATCCAAAGTTCTGCTGCCCGGCGCGGTGGTGGTGGCTATGCCCAACAAGCTGGAACAAATCGCGTGGGTGTGGGCTCTGATCTTTGCCTTCGCTGCCCCCGAAGTCTTCACCTTCCTGCGCGCCCTCCGCATCTGCATGTTCAAGCGCGAGCATCGACCCAGCGGACTGGAAGTGGCTCTGGTGAGTGTTAGGAAAGGACCGGGGCATGGTCTAACCCGCACGGATGGTGATTGATAAGCTCCCTCTACTCTCTCTGTTCTCTGTTCCCTGCTCCTTGCTGTGGGCTGTAATCAGGTCACCCTCTTTGAACTGCTGCACGTCGTTGGGCTGGCGTTGCTCACCTTCACCGTGCTGCCAGCATTGGACCTGACGCGTGGAGCGATGCTGGGGTGCTGTGTCTGCTTTGTGCCCGCCCTGCTCAGTGAGTCACAGCAATCTTATCTTGGGGGCTTGGGGCCGACAACAATTAAATTGATTGCCACTGGCTGCCTGCTCCCGCACTTCAGATCTGCTGACGGGAACCCGTATCCACTGGAAGTCGGTGGACAGTCTGGTCTTGGCCCTCTCCATTCTGGCCGTAATGGCGCAGGGCAGTGTCTTCCTGCTCTGGCCGTCGATGAGCTCTCAGCTGGAGGTGCAGCTTTTGGCCATTCCCCTACTGTTGGTCTCATTCCGCTGGTGGGAGAACTTTGCCAACACCCACGAGGCCATCGGTGAGTGCCGCTCCCTCCCTCCGACTCTCCACCAATGATTCTCGCACTTTTATCATCCATCAGCCTACATCATTCGCACCATCCGCTGTACCCGCTCCCGCTACCACACGTACCTCTACCTGGCACCGCTCAAAATCGTGGTGTTCGCCACAACTGCCTTCCTCCTGCACGGTCACAGCTTCGTGGAGTACTTCAGTCTGTTCTCGGACGCCTGGCGGACCCATCTCATAACCCTGGTGGTGAGTGCAGACCACCGAATCCTGATGCTCATTAGAGTAGAGCGCGAGTCAACTTTGATGCATTTCCACTTCCTTTTGCACTTGCAGCAGAGCAGCGGGAGCAGCGGCAGCAGGAGCGACGAACTCGATGCGCTACACTTAACAGAATCCTACGCCGCCTCATCGCAGGCGAACGGCAGCAGCTCGTTTATCGGGACAGAAGCAAGGGCACAGTCACAGTATACGATGCAATCCAATCCGAATGCGGTGGTGTATGCCCTGATGGTGCAGGTGGCTGCCGCGTATCTGTGCCATGTTTTCGGCAAGTTTGCCTGCAAAATCAAGATCCAGGAGCTCAGCTATGCCCTGCCCCTCATCCTGGCCACGCCAGTGACCGTTGCACTGGCCACCCTCCTCGCCTACCTTCGGGCGGCAGATCCCTGCTCCCTGCATGGACTCATGCCGGACTACCTCACGCTGCAGGCACTGGCCGGAAGTCTGGAAGAACTGGGAAAGAGCTGTATGGACTACGTTCTGTGGCTGTGGCCGCTGTGGTGGCTGGCCCAAGTGTGGACGTGCCTGCACATCTGGCAGCCACGCAACGACAAGAATGCCCAGACAGAGAAGCTCTTCGTTTGTCCGTGGTATTGCGGCTTGCTGGTGGATCAGTGCGGCATGATGAACCGAAGGATTGTGGACTGGAGCGAGGAGTATCTGGCCATCAAAGTGGGTATGGGTATGGCTGCTATGCTGTTAATTGTGTCTCGTCGCCAATCAAATTGCGCCCGAGGAATGGGGTGTATATGAATAATTATAATCAGGCGGCATCAATCATAGCGCCAAGCTTTCACGAGTTTTCCCCACTGACTGCCATGTGTGGAAAGGAGATGCCTTTCCCACCCCGTCCTCCTCCTCCCCCCCCACGCCACATCTATCTATTTCGAGGACTTTTTGACTATTCTGGTACATTTAGACGGACTGGCACTACTCATCAGGAGGAGATGTTCGCTTTGCACTTCAAATGTCGGGCAATGTAATTAAGTTAAATGACGGGGAAACTGTAAAGTTCAGGAAATGTTTGCGTTTGCTGGGCTTCCCTCTGCGCCCTGCCCCTTCATGCGATGCGTGCGTGTGTGTGGAAGGGGATTTTCGGTGGGTGTTTCAGTGGGTGTAAACTTAATTAAAAGTGCTTCAGTTCGGTTGTATGTTTTCAGGCCTCATCTCCCGAAAAAGGGCCAGCATAAAGACATTAAAGTAATTAAAATCAGGGCACAAGAGTTGAGAGTTTTGAGGGCATAAATTAGAATGCCAGCGAATTATGTGCATTCGTAATGTGGCTCTGTCATTAGGGACAGCACACGAGATGGCTCCGACAACCTCTCCTCTAATGAGGTGAATGGGAGTGGGGGAAGGCATCAAAGCTCACTAACAATTTCCATGCTCTCTTTAACGCCCCACAATACCGCATTTGATGGCCAAAACCACTTGATATCAACTGCAATCGTTCAGAGCTTAAACTAAACCCTACCACCTCCATCTCTCTCTCTCTCTCTCTCTCTCTCTCTCTCTCTTTCTCTCTGTTTGTCGACCCACCAGAGCGACCTAACCACACCCAGGGAGTCGGTGATGGCCCTGGCATCAGAATTGAATGCGAGCAGGGACATTCTGGAGGAGGACAAGATACCGCAACTGATTGTTTGTGCAACAATGTGGCACGAGACGGAGGAGGAGATGATGGAGTTCCTCAAATCAATTGTCCGCCTGGATGAGGATCAATGCGCACGCCGCATGGCAAAGACGCATCTAAACGGCGGCAAGGCGGACGATGAATACTACGAGCTGGAAAGTATGTAAATGTGTCAAGAGCAGCAGCAGCAACACCAGGACCAGCACAAAATCCCTCCAGTTACCAGATGCTCCAGATGGGGATGCCATCGTCGGTAGTTCTCCGCTGTCCCGCATTTGCATGCATATATTAAATGTGTCAAAGTGGAAATTTATGCAGGTTGCAGTTGGAATAAGTCGTATTCGGGTGCTCTGTGTGCAGCCCTATTTATAGCATTTGGCGACTTCATTTCCGCGCTTGCCAAAATGGCATTAAGCCAAAGCGAATGGCATTTGCAAGTGTCTCCGACAACTTTACGATCTGTCTAATTCCGCCTCCTACTCTTATTCTTATTCTTATTCTTATTCTTTTTTTCTTTTTCTCCCTTCCGTCTATTTCCTTAGCAAACATTTTCTTTGACGACGCCTTTGTGCTGGACCCACGTCAGTGCCAGAACAAACGGAACCCGCCAGTCAACGAGTACGTGAAAACGCTCACCCGGACTATAGACAAGGCCGCCTTTGAGGTGTACGGAGTGAACATCCGGCTGAAGCCGCCCCTCAAAATAGAGACCCCGTATGGGGGCCGCCTGGTGTGGACACTACCGGGGCGTACCAAGATGGTGGCCCACCTCAAGAATAAGGACAAGATCCGACACAAGAAGCGCTGGTCGCAGGTTATGTATATGTACTACCTGTTGGGGTACCGCATCATGGAGACGGAGCAGCTCTCGCCCCGGCGCAAGGCGGTGATAGCGGAGAACA